TCTATATCCCAGATACGTTGTTTAAGGGCAGTTCTAGCATTATCAAATCCTAATAAGCACAGAGTTTGCAGCAAATGGGAGCTGCAGCAAAATGAGGTGACGTGATGCAGTCAGCCGGCCAGCCAGTCAGCTTCATCTGGGCAGCTCCGTTTGAAACCAACCTCCAACAGATTCCATTTCATGCAATCCCGTGGAAGAATGGCAAAATCTTGAAAAAAACGGGTCGCCCCATGAGTTTATTATAGCCACGAAAAATCCCTTTCTCTCTCTCTGATTTATGGGGTTCCACGGATTTGGGGTGTCACATTTGCCCTCGTGTTAAAAACATCTCATTCTAAGAATTTAAGGACGGATCTGGAAGCCCTCCTAGATATCTTCAGGTTGCCAACTCCGAGCTGTGTTGCGTTATTTTGAAGTTTCCCCAAACTTGTGGATGCCTTTTGATCAAAGGTTCTGGGATTTATTTATTTTTTAATTAACAAGTTCCACAGTCTGAAAACGTGTGAAATTCCCTGGATTATTACATTAAAAGTTCAGCGCATCCAGAAAATACCGCACTGAGGAAGCATGGACTAAATCAGACTCTGGAACTCGTAAACCACAAGGAATCAAAAATCTCCAACTAGACTAGGATCACTCTATTCCTGACATAAATTGTATTTCATCAGGTTCAATCTTTTCCTTAACTTCCTGCCCTGGGGAAGAATTAGATGTATGGCTCTAGCAACTTGGTTTTACTTGCTGAAATTGAGTTAGTGTAAGCATCAGCATGTTGTACAACAATGTACAGCATGTACAACAATGTCAGGGGCATGCATGGTCCAAAAAGTCAAGAAGAGTACAGCTACAGATGAGCGATCAAAGTCTTGTCTCTCTTTTACATATGTCATGACACACATAAAAAAGGGATAGGGTCTTCAGTTGTACAGTCATGGATGGCATCTTGACTTGTATTGACCCTCCTCTGTGAAAATGCCCCTGGTCCTCATCCCATTATTTTAAAAGATTACAGGCTTTCCTTCTCAGAGCCTTGTGAGATGTCATCCCATTCCTTTCTGCATTCAGAAGGTCCTGGGTTCAAATTCCCAACATCCCCTAGTATAACGGTGAAAGACTCAAGGCTAAAACCTTGGCTTTCCGACAAGATGAGTTGAGACGACAACTTTGGAATGCCCAAGTTGGGGAACACGAATGATGTGATCTGATTTGGCAAAAGGAAGCATTCCAGTGATCCTTCAAGAACATTTAAATCCCTGAGATGTAGCTCTGTTTTGATCTTGTGGGTACCTGTGGTCCTCCAACATGCTTCAGTGGCTCCCACAACCATGGAGAACTGATGTATACCCTTTAATTTACTGACCTGAACTACGAACAGCACCAGGAAGCTGAGTCTAGCTACCATTGTAATTTCCCACAATTAATTTTTAGAGCACTGCCGGAAATTTAGTGTAATATTGTTGCCTCTACAAACACAGTTATGTTTAGGGTCGCCGTTAAGCCTGGAATTGCCCAACCTGTTTTGTTTTGTAGTAATTCTTCTGTTTGTTCTGTCTATCCTGTCCTGTCCTGTCTCCCTTCGTGCTTCATCCTGTCCTGTCTGTTCTGTCTTACTGAGTTGACTCTTTAAAGCTGAAGTTGTGTTTCTTCGGGGCCAAAGATCACATTTGCCCTTTGGGAGACATGCCAGGGACTGCTCTCTGAATAGCGGCTGGGCCCAGGACAATCATTAAATTACTTTTACAATTAATTAAAATTAAAGAACATTAATATAGTTATGCTCCAGTCCCTTTCTTTTGCATTGATTGATTATGTGCCATTGAATCAGTGTTGCCTCATTATCAACCACATAAATACACTTTCTCCATAGACAGATTTTCTCCATGGTGATCTGGCCAACCTGGCCCGTTAAGTCTTCCAGTTGAGCGCCCATCACCACCATAATGGACTAGCTCAACCCCCTGCTCAGGGCAGGTGCACTATAGGTCTCTGACAGCTGACCCTCCAGCTTTGGTTTGAAGACATCCATGATGGAGGATTCACCATTTCATGCAGCAGCCTGTTCCACTGGCTGAAAACTCATACAGTCAGAAAGTTCCTCCTGATAGATAGCCTTCTTTGCAGTTTTAACCTATTGGCTGTGGTTCTAAAGCAAGAGCAAATAAGCCCACTATCTCTTCTGGATGAACAGCCCTTCAGATGTTTGAAGATGCAGGCATGTTTTATGTAGGCTAAACACATTCAGATCCTTCAATTGTTGTTCTTCAAGGGCAGCCCCACGTACAGCACATTGCAGGAGTCCAGTCATGCAGAGATCAGGGCGTGAGTCAGTGTCACAAGGATCTCCCACTGCAGGTCAGGCTGGATCCGGGGCACCAGCTGAAACCAAGCCAAGAGACTTCTGGTCCCTCTTTCCACCTGTAATTCAAGCAAGACCCCCAAGTCACAGACCAGCTCTTTCAGGGGAAGCACAACTCCATCAAACACAACCACCACGATTGATGTCAGCAGAGATTCTGCTGTTTACAATCATATGGTAACTCCATCTTGTTGGGACATTTGTACATCTGAAATCTTAGAACATCTCTGAGAGCCAGTTTGGTGTAGTGGTGAAGGTGCTGGCCCAGAAAGCAGGAGACGGTGAGTTCGAGGCCTCCCTTAGGCATGAAAGCTGGCCTGGTGACTTTGGGACAGTCCCTCTATCTCAGCCCAACCCACCTCACAGGGTTGTTGTGAGGAAAATAGGAGGCAGGAGTATTGGGTACATTTTCTGCCTTGTTTTGTTTTTATATGATACTCCTCATCATCTCTGGCTTGGTGCTCCTTAAGATTTCCACCATTTTTGAAAATCCAAAATTCACTTTAATTTGTGGGTTGTCCACAGTTGCCTCAAAACTGGCAAGCATTTACTGTGCTGGTAGCCCCTGCCCAAGGAACAATTTATTTTGCATTATTTTATTGTCTCTTCTAATTCTCATGCTCTGGGACATTCGCTGCTTTCTGAGTCAGTGGCTTACAGGCTGCCATGCATTTAACTGACTTCATCATTTTCTCCTTCTTTTGTGTATGTTTGTGTGTGTGCACAATGCAGCTGTTCCAATCCCAAAACCTGAGTTGATCTCTCGTCTGGAACGGGGAGAAGAGCCGTGGATCCCTGCCCAAACAGCTTCAGAGGAGAAAAAAATCCCCCTCAACCTTTATGAAGGTGAGAGAAGGGCGAATCGGTAATGAGTTTTCAGGCTGAACGGTCATGGTCTAGTCTTCTGTTGTCCTGATGTTTCACCAGCAGCTGTGGTTGGTATCTTCAGCAGAGCGAGCTGCTTGTATTTGAAGCTGGCCAACTGATCTCTGATTGGTCCATGTCACGGAAGTCCAAGAAAACTGGTTTCTGATAGGTTCCTTATCTAGGTAGACCTCCAATTGGTCCATTTTGAAGAAGTTCCAAGAGGACCGGTTCCTGACTGGTCTGCCTTTGAAAACCTACATCAGCATAAAAGGAGGTTGGCTTAAGGAACAGACCAGAATACTGTATAGTTTCTCTCTCCTCCTTCATCATTTGTTCACCGTAGGGGTGTCCACAACAGTGTGTATGTGTGAAAAAAATCAAGATGGCAGCCAGGGTTGTATGATCAAAGTACTGTCCCTTTTTTATCTGCACAGCACACGTTAAAAAGCAGTGGGACTTCAGTCATGCACCCACAGCTACCATCTTGACTTTTTTTATCCCCCTCCCCGCCCTCCCTGCAGACACCTCTGGTTCCGGCTTCCTATTTCTAGTTGAACTTGGTGGATGGGGCCAGAGAAATCCATAGATCTACTCAGTACAGAGTGGACTTTGCAGGAGGAGAGCTATGTTGGTCTGTGCTAGCCAAAAAGCAGGAATCTGGCACCAGTTATTAAAAGGCCTACGCTCTCGTGAGCTACCTCAGTGAAGCCTCTCTGTGCGTCTAATAAGGTGAGCTGTGGCTCATGAAAGCTTAAGCCTTTTAATAATATTTATTAGACAGGGGTAGTAGACAACATCTGTAGCTCAGGGTTGAACGGTTGGGTTCTTGGAGTCCTCTGAACTTAGTTGTTTTTCTGCTGACGTTTTATTACCAGGCTGGGTAACATCATCAGTATAGGGGGGAGCAGATATTGTAGTTTGCTTGCCAGTCTTGGAGGAGTATGGTGTCTTCCTTGATGATGTTACCTAGCCAGATAACAAAATGTCTGGCTAGGTAATTTGGTTAAGGAACAAGAGAGGAATAAGGACACTCAGAATGTATTCAAATATTGCATATCCCTAATAACTTATCCCTAATAACTTAACATAATCTTGGTGGAATTCTCTTTCAGAGGAACAGGTGCAGGACAGGGGACGCCTCTGGCTGGCCCCAGGAAGAAACCAAAGCCTTGACCAAACGTGTCTTGCCAGATCCAGCAGGCTATTCTTAGCTTCTTAGGGTGGCAGAGTGGTTAGAGCAGCGCCCTCCAAACCTCTGAGGGTTGGCAGTGAAAACTTGCTGAATTTAAGGCCGTGAGAGAGAGGGTGTCATTCTGCCAACTTTGGAAAAGCCTATATCTGGAACCTTACCCAATGCGAGGCCCCACATGGAGAATTAAATCTAGGGTTCCTCCTATTCACTCTTGTCTATTCCAAGGTCTTCTGGGTTCCAGAGACTTTTCCCATCCTTATCTGGAGATGCCAAAGATTTGGATCATCTGCATGCCAACCTGATGCTTTTCTATCAAGCTATTGAGCAGTGTTTCTCAACCTTGGCAACTTGAAGAGGTGTGGACTTCAACCCCCAGAATTCCCCAGCAAGACTTGCTGGCTGGGGAATTCTGG